ATTTTCCGGATAGACGGGCACCACGCGCCATGAAATATGGAGGAAGTTCACCTATCGCAGTGCCAAGGCCCTAAAATATAAAGCAAATAACATTAGCTCATATTCGACAGTAAAAACAGAGATAAGACAACGTACCCATAAAATTGAAGGTATCTGAACCTTACTAATGATTTTCCATACGTTGATATCTTCTGTTTTGCCATCGTCAGGACAGATAACCTTATCAGGAAAAGGAGGTTCTGGGAAACGTGTACTATGGCACTCATAGGCACCCATAGTTACTTGAGCTATAAAAGGGCCCTGTGAATTTATGATTTTTAAAGTATCATAAGTACCAGATAAAGAACAAAGGTGTGTAGTCCTGTTCCCAATCCACACGATGAGAGGAATCCAAGCCATACCCACCACAACCACCAAAATAGCACGTTCTTGCTCTCCTGAAAGGTCTACAAAATTAAATTAAGAGTATATACCTGCTGATGAGGGCCATCTTTTGCGTTCAAAAGCACTAATATGAAACACACGACAGAAGTGATCGCAAATAGTTTTTTATACCGGAAAATGGCAAAAAGGAGCTGAGTGCATCTGAATGAGCATTCGCCCCAGAAACCGTACAATGTCTTGAAAGGGAAAGTCCAAAGTTTGATTTGTTTGATCGAAACATGATTACTATCCTGCGTTCGTTGGGGCTTTTTACGATGGGCTAACGATCGTACGTTGGTACCGTTGCCGTACATGTTTAAAGATGAATATCCGATACTGACTGATTCAGGAGAATCAAATAGTGATTGAGTGACAGATAGTCCACTCTGAAATAATGTACATATAAATTCAAAACGGGTTAAAGCAAGAAGTGAAAGGAATAGACATGTGGAGGATTTGAAAATTGGCAGAACAGGATCTTAATTATATAAATAACAAAAACAACCACAGAAAACCTAATTTTAAGTATACTAGTGTTATATTTTTTATTGAAAAACAATTGAGATTTAATAAAGGTTGAAGGTTTAAAAATTTCAACTTTATTGATTGTTCGTGTTCCTAAGCTTCCTTATATTGATAGCAAAAAGATAAAGATGATTTTACTTTGCTACTAAATATTTAGCCAAATATAATCTAAGCTAGATCGGTGAACTCTGTTTCCAGCATTACTTTTTATTTCACTTAGACACCTCATTAAAAGTCCTGCTTTCATAGGAGAACTGAGGATCCTTCATATGATTGAAAAAGGTTAAATGCAAATATAATAGCAGGATTTCATATCCAGAATTATATATAAATGCAGATTTTTCTTTTAGAATTATCATTAAACTT